GTTAATTAAATATAAAATTTTTGTTAATTATGTTAATTTAATTGTTGTTTTAAATTTAATTGGGTTAGAATTAGAATAAATTAAGTTAATTTTCTTTATGTTTAGTTAATTAATTAATTAGATTAGATTAATTATATTTAATCGGTTGAAATAGAATATGTTTGTTAATTCATAAACTATTCAATAACAATTGCAATGTAAATTCATTAAACCTTATTACAACAATTTAATAACATAAAAACCATGAATCATGTCGTGCAGGTGGCTCTCCAATCATCAAACACTAGTTAGAGGGCCTGTGCTTTCACATGGATTGGGTTTAATATAAGTGACATTGAGTTTACTTTGATAGCTTGTTTATTTATATGGATTCGATGTGATTTGTTTGATAATTGCTATTATATGTTTAATTTCTAAAGCGATTATTTTAGAAATAACATGAAAAAGTGATCGTTCTGTTTGGATTCATATATATCTTCTTTAGCTACACGTACGTGATTGCTTAGCAACTAGATTAAATATGTAGATGGTTAGATAAACAATTTGTTAGATATTTTACTAACTAGATAAAATTAATTTAGCTAAAAATTTTATCTCAATATTCCCTAATAAACTTTTAATTAACAAATATCAACATCTATCTTATTTTGTTTTGGTTATATTTATCATAAAGTGCCTTTAATTCATATATGATGCAATTTTTATTCTTTTTGTACTTTTTATTACACTTCTTACCACAATCAATTATCTATATGGGTTTAAACTATATTATTGACATAACATATATGAACGTCTATCTTATTTTTTTGGTTATATTTATCATAAAATACTTCTTATCCATGTATGACGCTATTTCTATAATTTTTATTCTTTTTTTGTTTTTCTTTTTTATAGCACTTCTTTCCATAATAATAAAAAAAGTATACCCTTGGGCATATAAAGTCTCGCAATAACTTTTAATTTATCAAGAAATACGTCTTGTCCATGTTGCCCCCACCTGATTATGCCTGGCTCCGCCGGTGTTTTGAAACAGGGTAGCGTCTATCGGCACATCCTACGCGTCTATCGCCACATCCTCCGTGTCTATCGGCACAGCTTTTACATTGATAAAATGATTAAATTATCCTTCAAAATTATAATTGATAATTAAAAGAAAGGGTTTTGGTGCTAACAATGATAATAAAAAAATATATACTTTCTGAAATCCATTGCTTAGTTCCGTCGCTGGGGTGTTGGTTTCGGTGGCTGCCACTATGTTGCAATCTTATGAAATCCGGGTGAAGGATCCACCTCTGGCTGAACTATTTTTTGGAATTTGAATGACAATGAACTGGATTTTGCAATCTAGTTTCTATTGTTCATGGGATTGGGCTTAAGCACTCCTACATTTCTTATTTCATAATTTGTTTCCTCTCTAGTATGTTATTGCAATTTCTGTTGTGATTAATTTGTTAGGTACATTATGTTGGCTTTGTTCTTGAACAACATCTGATCGGGACTGATTTTGAATCCTTTTTCTTTGCCGAAACTATTGAGAGTGTAAATTCCATGATTTGCCTAGTCGAACTCTTTTAACTTTCTAGTCCACTTCTACTAGTTTTTTCCCCCTTCTTGTCTGGGTTGATGTCCTTTCATCATGTATTGTACAATGTGGCTTCATGAAATTCTAAGCTCTATAAGTTAGATTTTTGTTTTGTTTGTAATTGTCTTCTAACAAAAACAAATGGACTTATAATTATAAAAATCCTGAGTTTTGTAAATCATTATTTATTTTTTATTTTTTAGCAACATGTAAATTCAGTTGTAAAGATTTATGAAGTTATTAGGGAACTTTCAATTATATTTTGTCTCTTATGTTGACCCTCTCACAACGTAGCAATTAATTGTTTCTCTCAACAATCAGCAATCGGAAGATGATGTAGAAAATGATGATAAAGAAAACTAAATTTCTTATTTTTTTTTAAAAAAATACATTTTAATGCATTTATATTTATTTTATTTTAATTTATATAATTTTAATTTTGTTTGATAATATAGCATGTCTTTAATAAAATGTTGTTTATATTTATTTGTTGTTATAATTACCAATAAACGACAATTCATAACAAAAATAGCAACAAATTTATTAACGTAATAGAGATAATAGTTAACGATAAATGAATACTCAATTGTTGAATAGCAATGAAATGCGTTATCAATAAATTTTAATCACTAATAACCTCATAATTTAAACATTATTTTCGTGATTAAATTTTAATGACAACACATTAAATAACGATGAAAATAAGTAAAAATAATGACCGATACGAGACCTCAAAAATAATTAATTAGAATTATTTAACAACAAACAATCAATAAATAGCAAAAAAATAAAAAAATTCTGTCGCTGAAATAATAATAATCACCACTTTAACAACGAATTAGATTTTATTTTTAATTCATCGCTAATTCTACAAAATGACGGATTTTTGTCAAATAGTTACGGAAAAATTGGTATTTTCTGAAATTTTTGCAGTGTTCTGTGATGGCATCATTCCAAAAATCTCTACAAAATCTGATAAAGTTTTCACCTGTCCGATCATGGTCAACGCTGGTGGCTTGTTTACTACTTCATAATTTTGCATCACGACGGGGGAACGTGTGAACGCTAAAATTCGTTGGAGTAGGCTTTGAACTTCAATATTATGATTGGTAGAATTTCGAGTTTATTTCATTTAAATACTTATTCCAATTCTTTTAATTATATTTCACCGATAGTCTTTTTTTTTTTTTTCACTTGGCAAAGGTCTGATCAATTGGTTCATGATATATATATATATATATATATATACACACACTATTGCGCAACCAGAGAGGTTTTCTACTCTCTCTCTCTCTCTCTCGCTATATATATATATATATAGCGAGAGAGAGAGAGAGAGAGAGTAGAAAACCTCTCTGGTTGCGCAATAGAAGGCGGATCCCTTGAATTTTTTTTTTAATTAAAGAATTGATCTCTCTTCAATCATTTGTAATGATATCGAATTAATCTTAAAACCAAAAGTTCTAAACTCTCAATACTCTTAAAATCTGAAAAATAAACATAAATTTTTTAGTGGTCAAAACTGAAACGTGAAAAATGAAATTTAAATTTTTGTTAGAAATTCAAACCTTCTATCACTAAAATACTCTTTCAGGTTAAAAACAGAAATTTTAGCATTATGCTATTACTCTCATCATGATCCAATTGAATTTCCGATTGGGTTTTGGTGATGGCCGCACGTTAGTTAGATGAGCTAGTCAATTAAAAAATTTTAACTTCATCCGTTGATTCAACCAACCCCACTCGCTGACTGCAACTGTTGCTTTCTACTACTCCATAAAATATCTCTTGGAGCAATATTTTATAGAAAGCCAAAAACCGGCAACAAAATGGCTCAAGAAAAGGGTTACATTTATTATTGACTCCAACACCCCCTCCTCCAGGTCTATGTCAGTTCAAGCGTCGACATCAGCCCAAAAAATATAAAAAAATAAAAAATTGCACCTCACAAGATATACAAATTTCTCAATTAAGAATAGAGCCGGCGGTTATCTCTGCTTTTCTATTCTGTTGAACAAATTAAACTTCACTTTCACGTTAAATACTCCAAGGAATATCGATTTCAAGATAAGCGAGGTTCGATGACATAGGGCTATATTATACTCTCCTCTCTATGTTAGGTACTAGCTACGACTAATCCCAACCAATAACCAGGATGCTTGATGAACTGGAAAAGTGGCCCATTCAAAAAAGTAACATCACTTAGGAAGGATTTATTGAAAGAAATGATGGTTATTAGAAAACTCAGAAAAGAAAAAACAAGATGTTAGTACTAGCCATCAAGCCGTCAAACGTGGGACCCAGATAAAGACACCAGGACTAACCGCCATCATAACTAAATGTTTGATCCTATTTGGCAAACGAAGAGATGATTTAATACCCAAAATCAGCGGCTCTTATTCGAGCGTAAATCCCTCACGACTTTTCGTCCACGAGTTCCTCGTGGATTTGCTGAATGATTGTTCCATAGGAAACAGCAGCGACTCTTCTAGAGCTCCTGTAACTCTCCCTTTCGACATGCTTGCTTCTGTTGCCAATTCAATATCACATAAACATGTATTGTTATTTTTTTTTATTCCTAAAATATTTCAGACTCAAACTTTACATCCGATGCAAAAACAAATGCAGCTATTTAAGAAAATTATGTAAATAAAAATTCAAAATTAAAACTATTTATTTAAGATATTAGCACATTTTCTGCTTAGATCGATCTTTTTAATAACCATATATTGTTATTTTAATGAAAAGAAATATACAAAACAAAAGAACCAAACAACAATATTAAAATCCGCAAAAGCAAACCCACGTCTTGTACCAAACTAGACCACTAATCCAAATTTTACAAGCTCTCAGTTACAAAGATATTTACAATTTGTTTTTTTTTTCTTTTTTTTAAATCTACGAACTGTATGATTACACATGGACATGTGGTAGGGACAGTCATACTGACAGATCTGACGTTCTGGCAGCGGCGTTACCGGATCTTGGTTGCCGTAGAAGCTCTATCAACGTCTCCGCCTGTCCACAATCATCCAGCACAAAACCACACCAAAACCATTAGACACAACAACGCAAAGAGAGAACAAAGTCAGTGGTATACCAGGTCTTCGGATTTACTATTGGGTACTAACAATGCCATTTATTTCAAAATATTTATCCGAAACATTTAATAGCCAGTGTCGTATAAGATCCACCATTGATCATATTGTTACAGAAACTCATTAAATTAGATTTTTTTTTTTTTTAGAATCATTAAATTAGATATTTTGACATGAATAGTTTTATTTCTTTACTGACAGCAAAAGCCAGAAGAAAAATAAAATAAAAGCCAATTTCTTTTTTCTTTTTTTGTCAATCCAAAAAGGCGTGAAATTAAAGAAGTGACTGACGTGGCCAACTAATGATCTCTCTCTCGCCTTCAAAAGATAGCCAACAAAACGACATTGATTTTCAAAATAAACTGCCACGTCAGTTGCAGCAGCGGACCTGGAGTCATTAACAACCGGAAATTCTGAATTAGGCTCACCTTCTGCTTGGCGCGATTGGTGCCGGATTGTGTCAAAGCCACCAAGGGAGGAATTGCTCCTTCTCGAGCCACCATGGCGCGATACACCAGATTATCTTCACAAATCTGCAACAATATCGAAACAGCAATCTCCTTTTGCCTCTGAGACCCAACTTCAACAATCTCTACCAGAACTGGAATCCCTGCTTCTTCAACAACAGCGGTTTTCGCTTCAGGAATTGTAATCAACACGCTCAAAACGAACGCTGACTTATCTACCATGTTAGACCCGAAATCAGCCATTAATTCAACCAGGGGCTTCATGATCCCAGCTTGGACGGCCCTGGTTTTATTCTCCTTGATAGAACATAATGAATATAGAGCAGTTGCTGCATCTTTTTTCCCGCGAAAACCTCCGGTTTGGAGGAGGTTTACTAGAAGTGCAATCGCTCCTGACCGGCCGATTGCGATTTTATTCTCCTCCATTTGTGATAAACGAAGCAAAGCGCACGCGGCGTTCTCTTTCGTCGTCGATGTCCCTGTTTTCAAAGCCCTAACTAGTGGTTTAATCGCGCCTGATGAAGCTATCAACTCTTTATTCTCATCACAGAGTGATAGATTCAAAATCGCAGTGACACCGAACTCTTGAAGCTGAGAATCAGACGATGAAACTAGCGAAATTAAAGGTTTAACTGCACCAGCTTTAGCGATTTTGAGACGATTCTCTGGTTTGTTCTTGGCAAGGAGTCTGATCTCCATGGCTGCTTGTTTTTGCCCGTCAATCGAACAGGACTTGAGATCCGATACCAGTTGCCGAATAAGATCATCGGAATTCTCCGCTGCGCAGGCTAGTATTAACCGTCGACTTTGAGACGACGCCGTTGGGAACTCCCCGGATCTGTCGCTGTTACAGTCACTGAAAGCAGAGGAATCTTCATTAACACTTAATTCACTAAAGCTCCTCCCCATATACGTCAAATTCGCAGAATTCTCCTTCTCCATAGCTATAATAATTCTGGCATAAAAATTCGGGTTGGTCTGGGGTTGGGTACGAAATGTATATTCGGGTTGGGTTACGGGTGGCGGGGTTTGCTTGGGGATAGTAGAGAGGGCTAAGTTTGTTAAGAGAGAAGGGAAGGTTATGAGCAAGAAGAGATAATAACACCTGGACAAGCGGGCGTGGGTCATCGGAAGGTGGGCTGACACGTGCATGTTCTTGACCTTACCAAATCCTACTTGGGTCCGAGCACGTGCGAAAGGTCCATCTTTAAACGCGTGCATGCAAGGAAGGTTCGCTATTCGATAAGGCTCTTGGCCTATACGCATTATTTACGTTCTTTATTTTCAAGGATTCAACAATAAAATTTATATGTTATCAATTAAATCAATTAAATATTTCAAATTTTCTTTTACTTAATTAAGTATAAATGATCTAAATTGAAAAAAAGAAGACTATTCAATAGAAACAATAAGATCAGTGATAATATTAATAGTAATGAAATAAAACTGCCAATAATAAATTATGTATAGTAATGAAATAAAATTGACAATAATAAATTATGTAATGAAAGAGAGTATTCAACTGACCGAAATAGATTTTAAATTTTAAAAAATTATATTTAATGAATCAAAATTAAAAATAAGCATGTCTAATTGATGTTTTTTTTTTATGAATGGATGAAAATACAAGGTAAAAATAATGGGTTTAGCCACGTTTTTTTTTTTTTTGATAAATAATAAATCTCTTGGGACGTTGTGTAAAGTTCTCTTCTTTGCGCAAAAGTTATAAGTTAGTCATTCTAGTTTTTTTTTTCAAAAGAATTAAACAGTCTCTCTTATTTCAATTTAATTAGTTCTTATATTTTTAAATTTTTTTTTAATTTAGTTCATTAATTTTTTTAAAAAATAATAAATAAAAATTATGAAAAATTATATTAAAAATTTTGTTTAAAATAAAATAATGTTAAATTAACGATCATCTGATTAGATTTTTGTTTTGCAAAAACTAACGCACCGTTGAATGTCCTTTGTGCCTTGGCAAATCAGCCTCCTCACTAAAGTGGCTTGCTAAACTGCGCTCCATATCGGCTTTGTTTCCTCTTCCTTTCTATCTGGCGTTGATGTGGGTTCTCGTCTACTTTTCTTTTTTCTTCCTTTTCTTTTTTTGGGTGAAAAGTGATGGGGTGCAGTAGTATGGTACATTTGGGTATTCTTGAGTGTTTGATATGGTGCCACGTTAGGAACGCATTTTGGGAAAATTCTTTTGTTAACTGCACGTGCTTCCATCAGTCATGTAGCATCAATACAGCCACACAGTCAAGGCCAGCCCAGGCCAACAATTAACTCCGTTGGGTTTGTCAAAAAACTGGAGTTCTTGCCTGCTGTTTGGTTCGTCAGGGTCAACATTGAATTAGTATATACTGCAATCAGATTTTCAACCCGATTTATTTGTATATCTGAATTGCAGTTATATGAGATCCAAGCTTAGGAGCCCAACAATAGCCTTGTTATTTGGTTTTTATTTTCCCATAATACCATAAGAGGTTTGTATGTTTGTTTTATTTTTTATGTGACCTTTGATACATAAGCAAGTGAAGCTCTAGGAATTAAGGAACCATGACTAAGGTGAGCATTCAATTTTCAGTTTTGGTTTTTAATATTTTGATTCGATTTTTCATTAATTAGATTTGCACAGAGTAAAATTGAACTCAAACTAAATTTGTATTTCTTCTTTTGATTTAAAAAATGATTTTTTTAATTATTTTTAAAAATACAAATAGTTTAAAAATTTTGTGTTATGAACTATAAATTTCTTCTTCTAACCAATCTAAATTAATTTATATAAAAAATAATAATATTTATTTGAATATAGCTAATAACACATTAAAATTTATATGTAAAAATATAACAATAAAAAACTATTAATTATTTAAATATGTTGTAAACTAAACTACAAAAGTTCAAATATATTCTTAAAAAATATGATTTTTTTTTATAGAAATTGAATTAAATATTTTAAAAATCCAATCAAAACTAAATGAAAAAAATTAATTCGGTTTCAATTTTTTTAATCGGATTTAATTAAAAACCAAACTAAATTAGTATTTTAGTTTTTATTCGGTTTGGTTAATGAATTTTAACGGAATATTGTTTTCCTTTAATCATGTCTAGGTTATTAGCCATGGACACTTGGACTAAACTAATGAACCACTTCGTAATTTTCAAATGTAGATAATTTCATGCTCCACTATGACATCTTGCATAATCGAAAAATGATGAAGATTCTTTGAATAGAAAAAGGGTACATGCATGTATGAACGCATCGTTCAAAAGCAACTAAATGTTCTCGAGATTGATGCGGAGTGACCAACGGAACTTTCCAGGGCAGGCTTGAGTCTTGGGTTTTGCTTCTGCCAAATTCTCAACGGGCCAAGCTTCGTTCTATAAGAAATTTTTGACAAAAAGAGGCCCCGGCTAGCCTCTACAGGTCCAGGGCCGCATTGTGATTTCCTTTTAGCCGGAAAATTAGTTTTTTTTTTTTTTTGTCCGCGTCAAATTACGAATTTACTAAAACATATAAAATTATTTAGAGAAATCATTTCAGTTTGGTAATCTATTTTATGATGTGAATCTATAAAAAATATACGAAACTAAAAGTAAAAAATATATATTTATAATTTTTTAATAAAAAAATTTATATTTAACTATTTATTATGTGTTTTTCATAATTTTTTCTTTAGAAAATGGATTTATCCTTGTTAATCAATGAATTATTAACTAAAAAAAATTAAATAATTTTTTTAAAAAAAGCTTTAGTATTTTATAAGATTGTGTCGAAAAACATAACTAATAATTATTAAAAGCTTATATAAAATTGAACAAATAATTTTTTTCTTTAATGTTGATGAGAATATTGGTTTCTGAAAAAATATGAATGTAATTTTTATATATTTATTTACAAAAGAATGAATAATATTAAAATAAAAAAAACTATATTAATTTGACTTTCAACTATTAATTAATTAATTTGAGTTTTTTTTTCCTAAAAAAACCAAGAAAAAATTATTTGAAATACACTTTTAATCTAAAAATGTATTTTAGATAAATTATATATATTAATCATGTTACTATAATTTAAAATTTATCTAAATATATTTTTCAAAAGAAAAAATAATGATGTTCTAAAAATATATTTCAAAATCCACACATATAGAAAAATAATTCAAAATTATCAGTAAATATAATTTTAAATTAATTGGATGAGAATTTTAAAAAAATTACAAATTAAAGTATTAAATTTTAAATAATAAAAATAATTAACAAAAAGCACTAAAAAAATGGGACTAAATCACAATATAATCAAAGTTTGAATTTGGAAAAAAAAAAAAGAAGAGAATTTAAAAAAAATGACAAATTAATATAGTAAATTTAAATAATATAAGAAAAAAATCAAGAAAAAGTTATTTGAAAAATAATTTTAATATAAAAATGTATTTCAAAAAAAAAAATTATATATATATATATATATATATATATATATATTAATCATGTCACTATAATTTAAAAATTATCTAAATCTATTTTAAAAAAAAATAATAATCATATTCTAAAAATTTATTCCAAAATCCATATATATAGAAAAATAAATCAAAACTATCAATAAATATTATTTTAAATTAATTAGATGATAATTTAAAAAAATAAAAAATTAAAGTAGAAAATTTTAAATAATAAAAATAATTAATAAAAAACATTAAAACAAAATGGGACCAAATCACAATATAATCAAACTTTGAAATTTAAAAAAAAAAAGATAGAATTTTTTTTAAAAAATGAAAAATTAATTTAGTAAATTTAAAATAATAAAAAATAGAGAAAATTATTTGAAATACACTTTTAATCTAAAAATGTATTTCAAAAAAATTATATATATTAATCATGTCACTATAATTTAAAAATTATCCAAATCTATTTTTCAAAAGAAAAAATAATCATATTCTAAAAATTTATTCCAAAATTCATACATATAGAAAAATAAATTAAAACTGCTAGTAAATATAATTTTAAATTAATTGAATTAGAATTTTAAAAAAAATGACAAATTAAAGTAATAAATTTTAAATAATAAAAATAATTAACAAAAATACTAAAACAAAATGAGATCAAATAACAATATAATTAAAGTTTGAAATTGAAAAAAGAAAGAGAATTTAAAAAAAAATGACAAATTAAACTAGTAAATTTTAAATAATAAAAATAATTAACAAAAAACACTAAAACAAAAAGAGATCAAATCACAATACAATTAAAGTTTGAAATTATATATATATATAAAAAAATTGAGGACCAAAGTATTACAAAAATATCATGAATAGTGAAATTAATAATGATTTATGAGCGTGTAAATAATATTTAAAATAGTGAATGACTAATAAAAACATGTTTTACTTTAATTTTATTGATAATGATAATATTTCATGACCTCATTCAATCCAAATTTAAATCCAGGGTTCTCTATTACTAAGTGATCCCCTCAGAAGGAATTGATTTGCACAAAATCTGTGAGCATTGGTTATAAACCACCTTTTTTTTTTTTTTTCAAAAAAATATCAAGATACGTGGCATGGAATGTGGTGAATTATTGAAATGTGGTTTTATTAGTTTCAATTTTGAAGGTCGATACCAATAAAGTTGCTGAACAAAAAATTTTCCCTCTTAGTTAAAGTTGCTGATTTCCAATTTTAAAGCATTGTTAGATTTTTTTTTTAAAGTATACTCCAATAGTCTTCAAGGCGTTTTTGGTAATATAAATATATGTTAAAATAATATGCAATTTTAGAATTGTAGTTTACATCTAGATCCACTACAGTCCCCGGAAGTATTGATGCTATTCGACCCAATAATGTTTTCAGTTGTACAATTGAGTCCTAATCGTCTGAGTTGACTAAAATCTTATCACTAGTAGCGAAAGAAGTGAAAAGTCATTTATAGTGATGGTTGCATATCAGAAGTTTTTTCAGGGGGCTCATCCAATTTGAAATGAACTGATGCAGGTAATTAAAAAATACATATTTCTATTCATTCATTATAAATTCAAATTGTTGCAAGCAGACACCGCTTCGTTTTGATATTCAAGGCATCATAATGCCAGCCCGTGTCAACTTAGGGAATCTAGCTTTTAGAAGATCGAAGCTAGTCTACATGTTTAATCCATAAAAGTGCCTTACTTTTCGTTTCCCGAGTAACTCCTCCTGCTCCCAGGAGATTTTTCCCAATAATAATATATTTTCTTTATTCTTTTTCTTGGGGCCCAAAAGCAAAAATATCGGAGGCTTGCAAGAATGGGCCCTCTCCTGGCTTATCGTACAATCCAAACAAATATATACTGCAGGGCATAGGCTCTTGAAAAGCCCAGTCTTCTCCCGTCAAAACTCAAAACCCTCTCTTGTTTCTATTCTTCCTCCCCCAGTCGCTCCTCTTTCTATCTCACTCTCAGCAACCATGAGCAAGGGACCTGGACTCTTCTCTGAATTCGGCAAGAAAGCCAAAGGTAGATCTCACTCTTGCTCTCCCTCTCCCTCTCCCTGTTTCAAATAAATTTTTTTTTCATATTGTATTGCTTTGCAGATTTGCTCAACAAGGACTACAGCTCCGACCAGAAGATAACAATCTCTTCTTCCAGTTACTCTGGAGTGGTTCGTTTTCTCAAGTCTTTTTAATATTTTCTTTTATCTTTTTCTCTGAAATTATTCTATAAGATAAGCTGATAAAAAGTTCTTAATTGCGATTAGTCTTGCAATTTATCATCGTTTTCGTTCCTTGCTTGGATCCAACTCTGTATGTCGAATGCTTGTACTGCTTATTTAGTTTCGGCTATTTTGAAATAATCAAACATGACTTGTTTGCATCGGTTCTTGGATTTATTTCTTTGTTAGGCTCACGATTATTGTGCTGCTTCCATTGATGCTTAATCTCATAGCATCCATTTGTTTTAAAGTTTAAGGGAATTAGAAAGGACAGAACAAATACACGGAAATTTTGAATTTTTGATACATGTTTAGAAAATTGATAAATCATGCTGGAAGTGTATTCCAAATTTGAGAATTACTAGCATAAATTAGAATTACATACTCTTGTTTGCATGATATGAAAACTCTTGCATTTTATTGATTACAAATCTCAACTTATCATGAAAGCTTTTGTTCACAAGCAATGGATTTGATCCTGCTACTGTGTGCGAGTTGCTACCATTTGTTGTGCGAAGATGGGCTAACAGTATCAATGGTTGGATCTTTGTGCACACGGTCTGGTTCTCATGTGTTGTCATATGCTTGTCAGTGCTGCTGTGTACTGTCATGCTTGCTGTCTATCATAAGGCAGTAAGTGTTTACGATAGTCAGTGCTGTCCAATGAGCTGCAGGGACTATGTATCGTCTGCTGTCTGTTTATAGCTACTAACTGACCGAGGATGTAGTTTATAAACTCATTAGGAGACCTGATATGACACGTTTGAAATAGACAACTAGCTCTTTTAGAAGGCTTACAGTTATTTAAATTGCATAATCTCTCCCGTGATATAATAGAAGGTGACTCCACTATGATATTAGGGGGGTTGTCCAGCTCATCTTCAATCCCTTGGCATCTAACCTACATCTTCAGAGAATGCTGGGCAAACAATTCTCTTTCTACTAGGATACGACACATTCACAGGGAGGGAAATATGGCAGCTGACAGGCTTGCAGACTGGGCTTTTCTTCTTCACACAAGCAGTATCACGTTTGGAATGCATGAATTACCTGTGTCTTGTTGCAGGGCAATATAAGATGATAGAAATGGTTTGTTCAATTATCGACCTGGTCTCAATTAGTTTACTTGACTTCTGTTAAGGCTAGAAATTAGAGATCATATGTTATGACTAGGTGCTTCTTGTTCAGCTTTTCAGGATTTTTCTGTAAATGTTGTTTTGTGTTCAGGGGTTAGGTTTCCTTGTCCTCTCAGTTTGTTGGGTTAGGCTGAAGTTGTCCCTCCACTTGTTCCTTTTCCACTTTGATATCAATATATTTACAGGGTACTGCCCTTGTTTCATAAAAAAAAAAAAAAAAAAAAAAAAAAAATTAGACCACTAGCTTGATAAATCAGCAGCATTGAGATTTTTTATGATATATAATTTTTAAAAGTAGAAAGAGTCAGTATCGAATTTACTTTCATAGATGAGTAATCTTAGGATTTAGTATCTAATAGATTGCGTGACTGGAAGTAGCCCTCATGATAATTAACAGAAATTATCTGGCACAGTAAAATGTTCTATAAAGATGGTAGACATTTAAAATGTAGTTGTTTGTGTGCAAAAAATGGATTAGGGATTCTGCAAATTGGTAGTGTGCATTGGGTAGTTTTTGTCAAAATTTGTTTTTTCTTTAATAGCAGTCCCCCTTCCCTTCAACACTGGCAGCAGGTCACTGCAGTATCCAAGAAAGAAGTTTCTTGTTGATGCATAGGATCATCTGATGGTTCTATATCATCTTCCCCTTTCCTCCATTGTAGGAGACAGAATGTAATTTCAAATTAGCTTTAGGCAAGTTCGAAAAACCATCCTGAGAATTATTCTGGAACAGTATATTTTTAGTAAAATTTGTTTTCCTTTTCCTTTTTTCCTTTTTAATGATTGCATAAAGTTTGCTTGAAGATCTTTCTTGCCACATCACATATGCATGTTAGCGCCAACACCCAATTCATAGTTCTGCTTATGTGTCTCCAAGATGTTTCCCTTAAATGCATGGATAGCACTGTGAATTTTACATGATACTTGACTTGGGCTTATCTTTTCCTTTCTCTGTGAGTAGAGAGCAATGATTTATATCTTTTATCTTCAGGCTATTACTTCAAATGTGGCCAAGAAAGGAGGGCTGTCTTCCGGAGATGTGGGAGCACGTTACAAACACAGGAATGCTGAAGTTGATGTTAAACTGGACACAGAATCAAATGTAACTCCTACGCTGTTTCTTTCTTAAACCCAAACTTCACTGTATCATATTTCTAACAATACTCTGTTTCATGTAGCAGATTGTAACAACACTCAGTGTCACAGATTTTCTGCCATCCACAAAAGCTATTGCTTCAGTTAAACTGCCTGATTACAACTCTGGCAAGGTATTGAATTTCTATAATTTAAATTGGACATAAAAATAATCCCATATTGCTTATTATTATTAAGCTGTCTGTTCTTTCTATCACAGTTTGAGGTGCAATATTTACATCAACATGCTAGTTTCACTGGAGCTGTGGGTCTGAACAAGTCTCCTGCTGTTGATTTTTCGGCAGCCATCGGTACTCCCAGCATTGCCTTTGGCGCGGAGGCAACCTATGTGACAGCTTCTGCTGAATTTACAAAGTACAACACTGGTGTGAGCTTGACAAAGCCAGATTCCAATGCTTCAGTGATTCTGTAAGTCTCCTTATTTTTTATATTCATTAACAGCAAATAACAGCATTTTGAGATACACTTCGTGCGGTGAGAAAGTGAAGGTGTGCAAATCGCAAAAGTCTAAATTGTTCCTAGGAAGGAATCTTGTTTCCCAACATTTGATAGATTAAGAGAAATGGTTCTCTCGGTTCTCTGTATACTTATGAAATGGCTTTCACTTTCTTATCTTATCTTTTCCTATTCTCATCATTTATACCTTGGAATTAGATTTGTTACGCAAAGATGCATCAGTATTCAATAGTTTGTTGAAGTATAAAATGGAAACGTCACGATACCATGGCAAGAATATTTGCAAGCTTGAAACAAGGCAACATCGGTGAAGTGTTTTTTTTTTCCTTCTTTTGGTAGGGCTGATAAAGGAGACTCAATAAGGTTTTCCTATTTACACAACCTGAATCAGCTGAATGGAGGAGCTGTGGTGGGAGAGATGAGTCGTAGGTTCTCTACTAATGAGAACACATTAACAGTTGGATGTTCGTATGTAGTTGATCCGCAGACACTGCTGAAGGCAAAGCTCAACAACCATGGCAATCTGGGGGCTCTTCTACAGCATGAGCTCATACCCAAGTCCTTCCTGACAATTTCTGGTGCCTTTGACACCAAAGCCTTGCAGAAGACTCCCAAGTTTGGATTAGCACTGTCTCTTAAGCCTTGATGGCGATTTTTATTTAGTGGTTGGAATGATGCAATCAATTTCTTTTGTATAACGCTCATCTCCAACTGCAATCTGATAGACTACATTTTTTGAAAACACCATTTGGATAGCATGTTTGCTACAAAAAAATCAGCTGCAGATTGCTCCAAAGTGTTATGCATGTTTTTAGGTGACCGATTGAGTCTCAGACTTGTTGAAGTTTTTCGGACTGATAAATTATAAGTCATATTTATTTGAACTTTTTTCTTTTCATGCATCCTCTGCCTTTAAGCGCTCGTTATACCTAGCTGACCATGTTATCTGTAGAAAAGTGCTACTTTTGGTTAAGATGATTACGAGAACTGCCCAGTGCCAGATGCCCCCTGCAGCTACAGATTGCCATATGGCTAGTAAATGTAAAGAAGTATGTTCTAGATGCATATATCATGTAAGCAAATACGGGTTGCCGTATGGCTAGGATACGTCCCTGCATGCTGAAAGAAAATTAGAGAGGGCGAGAGTGCTGATTTTAAGTCAGTTAACTATGGTTGAACGGTCAACGTAAAGAAAATTGATGAGGAACTACGGCAATCTGCTTTGGGATTGGGCATTCATAAAGTCAGTGGATTATCGTAGAACTTTCAAAACGCAGAAAATTGACCAAATCACCAGCGGATTTAGTGGTTCGTTTCATTAAAATTTGAGCCAACTTCATATGGGATCCATGTTTTGGTCACCTCATCCAGACCGAGACAACGCGCCAATATTATATCGCGCTTTGATTTCAAGCTCAATCATCTACTTGCTTCTAATAATGCCTGGATAATAACGTCTCTAGTGATCTACCATTAAATTAGGAAAAGTGGAATAAGTACTCTTCAAATACAACTATCTTCTTCATGGATGTCAGCGATTGGCAAGGACGATATGAAAATTTCTAATGATTATGACAGGGTATATGACTGCATCATTTTTCTAGGGTTCTGAAAAAAGCATGGTTGACAAAATGGTGTTAGACCGGATTTTAATGTTTGAAATCCTAGTGGTCTTCCGATATAGACAGTTGCACCAGTCTATGTACAGGCGAGACTTTGTGAAAGGGATGATAGAAAAATGAAACAAAAAACAAAGGATATTTTCAATTTTCTTAATATATAGATGTCTTCGTCTTTGGAATTTTCCAAGGCAGGACTACCACTAAATTCAATCGCCTAAAAACATTAAAACAATAACACCAAAATAGAAGCAACTCTTAGGGAAAATTAAGTCTTTTTTCTGCATGATTATTTTTCATAAAAGGAATTTTCTACATGGATATGCAGATAGACTGGTCAACTCAACTTAAGCATATTCCTTTTTTTTATGAAAAAACTAGCAGTTAATAGTTTCCTGTTGGCATTGCCATATGCGCACTCGGAAAACCCAGTACTTCAAATCTGGGAAGCAGATGAACAATGCCAGAAATAGAGAGACGAGCGGAAGAGAAATGCTGTAGCCGACTTTAACTGTTGTCTAGTGGAATTGTGCAATGTTTGTACCTAGTACGTGGCTACGCAATATTATAATCGTTATCCCACATAGGGTTTAACAAACTTGGTAGCTAGCTTGTATCAATAACAGCCATTTAACAACAATCCAAAAATAGGAAACGGGTTCAAAATCCCAACAGAACAAATCTCAATTCCCACAACCTTTGTGTACACCACAAGCAAGAATCTGACAAGTACAAAAGAAAATGCAATTTCCGAAAACCAAAAAAACTCACACAGAGACAAAGAAACACTAGCAAATGCCTCAAACTAAAGCGTACAACTCTGGAACAAAAGAAAACCACCGGAAGCCACAGCTCCACTTCTCAGGCAATGAAGGGCATTTAGGGAGCCAATGCCAAGTCCTCCTCGACACCTTGTAATACAATATCTCTGGCCATGTATAGCAGCAAACACAAATCATCCCCTGATGCCAAAAGCAATAAACACGCTCATAGTTGTGGTAACAAACTGAAACAAACTTTTTACACATCATTTCAGGCAATCTTTCAACTTCAATCCAATTCCTTCCATCACCCAATTCCCACAATTTCATGCTTCTTGAAATCCCATTTCTCCCAACCCCACCAATCAAATACAGCTTCTTTTCACCATCACTCACCAACCTAACAAATGTAAGGTCCCCTGGTAATTCATTGTCCAATCGCTCCCACTTTCCACTCTCCAAATCAAAACACACTATGAAAAATGGATCTGAGGTGGTAAAATACAAGGACCCCTTAAAGAAAACACCTTCTTGACGATAATTGTCACCTAGAATTGGCTCAAAGCGATCAAACTTTTTCCAGGAATGGAATTTTGAATCGTAAACAAAAACAGAATTTGAAGAGAACTTAGAACAAAGCACAAAAATCTTGTACCCAAACGGCATTGACACGAAAACAACTGACTCAAAAGCAAAAGGGTGACTTGGGAATTCAACGATCCTTGAAGATTTAGATAAGAAATTGCACACAAGAAAAGAACATGAACTAGGAAGAGAGAAACAAAAGAGTCCGTTAGATGACGAAAGAAGAGTACAAGATGGTGAACCATTAGAACCAGTACCAGGTAGCAAGAGAGAGAGTGACAAGGCTAAGTTGCGCCAGGAGCCAACAATAGAATCATACAAAGGGAACTGCTGATAAAATTGAGGGTGAGAAAGCAAGAGAAAAGAAGAGAAAGGAGAGCCAGAAGTTGTGTATTTGGAGATGAAGGAGGGAGCAAACATAAGAGACTTGAAATGCTTACATGTTGATCTCAAACTCAAGAAGGTTTTTAGGGGTAAAAAAGATAGAACATGCTCCAGTAGCTCCTCAGGTAGACGGCTCCAGATTGCAGGATCCATTTCTGGTAATCTTGACGGAGACTGTAGACTGTTAGGCATCATGGTTTGTTGTCAGATCTTTACCGGAGGTGGCAAGCAAGCTAATCCCAATTTGTTTTGGTTGTTTTGGCTTTTTGAACTAAAACGTGGGCTAAAGACAGATATATACAAGCTCACTGCGTTTAAAAGTTGTATTCTAGATGTGGTGTCGCCTGTTCAATTAATGTTTTTGGCACGCAGGAATGAGGGAGGGGTATAAGACATTGACTAAAAACAGAGAGATCAAACCCATTGACTTAAGTAAGTTAAAGTAGTAAATAGTCGCTGTTCTGATAATCTGACCAATGGAAGCTCGAGTAAAACAAGTTATTGGTTGAACCAACAAGTGGGTGTTTCTTAATTTTAGGCTTTAGCTAGCGAGTAGGCATTTTTTATTTTGCCGATAGAATTGCGCCACTTGCTTACAGATGGAGCATCCGGTCCCTTTACTTTTAACTTTTATCTCATTTTTGTCTTTTTGCCATTTTTTGTTTGTTTTAGTACCATTCTTCTGCTCTCTATTCCAATATGGTCCTTCAGTGCTCAAGAAAGGACCATTAAAAAATCATCAGCGACAGTATTTGATCGTCAGTTCAAAAAATTCAATCGTTTTTTTCTCCTAATTTTCCCCTAATTTACGAATATGATATTTCTTGTCAACAATCATTCATGATGGTATTTGATGAGATCCAAATAATTGCATTTATAGGGATTTGGAGGATCAAATCAAGATGAAAATAATTAAAAAGATAAAACTGGGACAAAATTCGCAATGGGAAGACGAAATACACCATTAACCCGATTATGAATCCAAATCCAGAAAAGCACCCCCTTGTCACAAGTATTTTCTTACAACAAGATATTTCAAATTTTTTATTCTTAAAATAGGATAGTTTTACTCTTAATTTTCATAATAGAGTATTTTATATCCTAAGGACTTCATCACTTATACGTGTCATATATATATATAATTTTTAACTTAGAAAACTAAATGGTGGAGTTGAGAGAGAAGGCATAAGATTTTATATCCTCTTTCTTTTATATTTTTTGCTCTTTCTATGTTTGTATTTTTTTTCCAACTAAATTCTTTTTATAGCTTTCTTTAAAAAAAATTATTTTACATCATTAGAAATATTATCCCAACTTAGTGTCGATAACCATGTTGTAAATCTATAATCTTTGTATAACTGTAAAGAAGAATTTTAAAATTATTTTGTTCACATCAAATTGTTTTTTAATTTTTCTAATATTAAATATGTCAATTTTTTTAAAATATATTGAGAACAAAATATGAAAATATAAGTAAATTGTAGACAAGATTGATGAACTCAATTGCAAATTCAATAATTTATTTTCTCTTAACGGATTCTCTTGCACATGCATCAAATGTATATTTCTCATAAAGAAAATGTTTAGTGTATCAATCTCATATACAATTATGTTGGTAAAAAATAATTTAAAACTAATAAATAGTACATTTCATAATTAAAAGTTATTCTTAAATCATTCTAAATGACGTCAGATATAAGCCAATTAAACAATACTAGAAAAAAAAATCCTGGTAGCTTGTTTAATCATAGTAAATTTTTAATGACTGCAGAGCATGTTAAATCATGTGATTTTTATTATTAGAGTGTAAATGCTCTGATCAGATATTCATATTTTTTTTATTTATATAACTTATGTTATTAGATATCTGTGAAAAATTCTAAATATTGAGAAGTTATTGCTTATAAACTTTAAAATCATAAATATTGAATAAAGAAGAGTTTGAATTTAATAGTATAAAAAAGAAATACATCATGGCTCATTGTCATTGCTTTGAAAAGCTATAGAAATGTATTCGTGATAAAAAAAAAAAAGAAGCTATTTTTTCTTCTATTTTCGATAAATATATATATTTAGATGGAAACATAAAAGAAGGAACCATATAAAAATTAAGTATGATATATTTCTTTCCTTGTTCAACATTTTCTGTATTTTCTCTTTCGCTTAGGTTAATAATTAAGAAAAATAATGACATGGTTACATAATAGAGATTAGGTGGCATGAACTACGTACCCTATCATAGTAAATAAAATTAAAACTACCCTGTTATTGGAATAAAGATTTAAAAGTAACCTTTTTTATTATATATAAAAAAAAAAACTCTACTTTTGTCTCTATATCAATGAGAACGCTCCTTGACACCTTTCCCCATCTTCATGGCCTTTTTTTTTTTTTTTCCCTATCCTAAAATTGCAGCTGGCCACTTTACCACATGCAAGTTAACATGGTTTGCCATATAACATCCAATTAAAACTGTGTCAACAATGTTTAACAATGTCTCATGCATTCCTCTAAAAGAAAGCAAAACAACGTGTTATACCTTTGTTTTTAACCTCCACTTGTTTTGTTTTATTAGCCTAGTTTCTTAGCAGATGTATTACTTAACCAATTTATAATAATTACAAACTTAATTAATTGTTTAGAATAATTTATAAATAAATAATTTTAAATGTTTATTAGATAAGCATGTTTGATTTTCAAATAATTCAATATAAAAATTGATAATATAATCAAATTAATTTGTTTAATTTTTGAACCGTACAAAATATTTTTAACTACATTAACATAAAATTAGGAACATAAATTGAATTATCTTTCAGATTAATTAACAAATAATTTGTAGGATAAATATATACAACTCTTAAAAATAATAATTACTAAATTTTTTTCACTTAATGTTATATTAATATGAACTCTTTTTATTTTACATATTTCTTTCAATTATACGTGGCATTAATATAAATTAAAAATACATACATAAATAGATAATTTATAAATCTTTCCCTTTTTATATCATTAGTGTTTGTTCAAAAGAGTAAAAAATAATGTAAGAAAATAACAAAAAATGAATTATTAAAAATTAACTATGGACTCAATTTAATAATTTAATGAATTTTGATGTAATTTATTTATTTCTGGATTTTGATAGTTTATGTTTCTTATTGGCTTGTTCTAAGCTTTTTTAAAATTTTGATAGTCAAAATAACATGTCAATATAGTACTACATAGCTTAGGAGTGGTTTAATTAACTTATTTTATGTTATTTAGGGTTTTAAGTGGTGTATAAATATGAAAAAAAAATGTTAATCCTGTATTTAGATTCATTCTAAAAACTACACTATCTTTTAGGAATTAACATAATTTTAAATAATTCTTTGGTTTTTTTATTAGTTAGAAATGGAGTTGAATTTACCTATTAGTACTGGTATATATCATATTATAATATTAATATTGTATTAAAAGCCAATAGCCAATTATAATTAGTCCGTTGTGTTTTTATATATAGCTATGGATTTATACATGCAAGTTACTGAGTTTATATTTCATTCACCATATATTCCTATTGATTTAAGAGGTCTTGAATTTAATAAAATAAAATAAAATAAAATTACACACGCTAAATTTTCCTTATAAGTTATTCGTTATGTATGATTTTTTAGGTAAAAATCACGTTTGCCACACATATTTTGGGCAATGGGAGGGGTACCATATATGTTGGAAGTTGGCTTTGTTAATGTATCAATCTCACAAGAAATTTTATAATATTTAAGGAGTAACTAGTAACATATATAGTAGCCACTCTTTATAAGTTATTCGTTACGTATGATTTTTTAGATAAAAATCACGTTTGCCACAAATATTTTGGGCAATGGGAGGGGTCCCATAAATGTTGGAAGTTAGCCTTGTTAATGTATCAATCTCACGATAAATTTTATAATACTTAAGGAGTACTTAGTGGTATGTATAGTAGTTACTCTTTGGATCTATTTTGAGGAGAGAGATAAATGCATAAAAAAGAAGAAGAGAGAAATAAGATAGAGAAAATTAAAAAAAATTATGCAAATGTAAAAATTTTATTATCACTTTTGATGAGTCCGGATGTAATTATCGAAAGTAGTCACTTCATTCTAACATGCTTGTTAGATCCGAATCATAAACAATGCATGCTTGCCTAAACTTCTTTAATTGCTTCCCCTCATGATTTATGTGTGCATTACAACTTGTTCAAAGTTTAGATTATCACTTTGAGGAGAGAGATAGACACATAAAAAAAGAAAGAAAATCACTTTCGGATCCACTAAAAGTGATGAGAAGATTTCCACATCTACATAATTTTTTTTAACTTTCTCTCTCCTATTTATCTCTTTTTTTATATGTCTATCTCTCTATTTAAAGTGGGTATAAGGAGTAAATATTGTACATGTTATTAATTATTCCTTGAGTATTATAAAATTTTTCCTAATCTCACTATCTCAAAGAAATAGTCCACGTTTCTATTTATATTTATTTATATTTATCTCAAAATATTTGTTTGGTAAAAATTTTAAGTAATTTATTTTTCTAAAATATTTTTAATTAAAATTTATTTTGTAAGAAAATGTCCAAATATAATTCTAAAGACAATGATATTTTTGGAAAATATTAACAAATATTCTGATATGAAATAATAATTAACAAGCTTTCGTAAGCTTTTGTAATCTATGTTAAAAATTAAAAGAGACAATCTCTTGAATGCATAGAGAATACATGTATGTTTTTCTTCATTGCTCATGGTATTTTCAAATTTGAAAAAAAAAATTTGTTTTTTTTTCGAGTATCAGTGATAGTCAAACAGTCGGAAAGATTAGTAGTTAATAATACTTAGCATGACAAGAAAATTGACGGTGGGACTTAAATTGGTCATTAAATTTTTAATTTATTTCATTAATATTATAATCTAATCTGTAATTTTCAACATTCTCTCACTTAGCAGATAATTTTATTTATTTTTTCCCATAAAAAAAAGTCCTTTTCGATTTAAATCTCTAATTATGTTAATTCTTCAATATTTAAACTAAATCAATGATAAATATAAGCTAAGGACTATGATTTAAAGTTGATCATGTATATATTCTAGATTTATCTAACTTGCATCACGAACGATGTAAATCTAAATTTTTCATTATTAGAAAAAAAAAACAAATAAAACCAAAGTT